CATGCAGGCTGGGGACAGAGGGACACACGTTCATCATGCAGGCTGGGGACAGAGGGACACACGTTCATCATGCAGGCTGGGGACAGAGGGCCACGGCCCACGGGGCACTCGGAGGGACGGGGAGCACCCGTCCTCCTCCTAATGGGATGTTGTGAGGGATTCTGGGATAAATATGCAGCGAAGGGATCTTCAAACACAGCCGGAGACTTCGCAGAGCCCTGCCTGGACACGGGAAGCCATGGCAGCAGCTCTGGGTCCTGCCTAAGAGACCCCAGGGCTTTGAGCCCGTTCTCTGATCGCTTGAGTTTTGCTGACTCATTAAACTTTTCTTCCATCACACCCAGGGTACAACGCTGGATTCACCAGGAGCCCAAGAAGGGGCATTAAAAATTACCTGTGTATCTGTATACAGATACACAGGTATAAAATTTGATATATGTAACATAGGCAGATATAAATATTTATATTTCAAAGCAATCCATTTCCCCTTGGTAAGATTCCCAAGGAATATCCTGCTCCCACAATGGCCAAGCCTCTCTATTCCTGAGCAAGGACCAGCCGACTTTGCTGCTCCTGCTGCCGCTGCCAGCACACACTGCACGTCCCAGTCCCTTTAAATGGAACGTACAGGATTAACTTGGAAAATTACTGATTCCATCCTCTCCCTCTGTTTCCAATCCCCCGTTTTCTCCTCTCCACTGGCAGCGCCGGGAGCGGCAGCGCATGGCACGGCCACACGGTGTCACTCGGAGCCAGCGGGAGCTGAGGGGATGTGCAGGGGGATCCCACAAGGACGCTGCAGGGGGAAGGTGGGGGCACGCAGGGCAGGATGTGGGGAGCGGGAATGCTGCACGGATGCTGCGGGGGGTGCTTCCCGAGGGGATGTAGGGGGGGGATGCTGCTGCAGTGGGATGCAGGCAGGCTCCCCCCCAGCCCAACACCTTCCCTCTCCCTGCAGCCACGGGAGGATGCCCCACACCAGGTGAGAAGGTGCCCACTCATGCCCCTCGTGCCCCCAGCAGCCCCACAGTACGTTCTGCACCACGGCCAGAGGGAACGGGCTCTTGGTATAACTCAGGTGGGTCAGGAGCCCCTGCCCAGGACCTTGGGGTGCCACAGCCTCCCACGGGGTGCCAGAGCCCCCCATTGCTGCAGCCAGAGCCCCCCATTGCTGCAGCCAGAGCCCCCGGTGCCATCACTTACTGTCACATTTCATGCCCTGGTGGATGAGCCCATACAGCAACGACCCGCAGTGGTCGCAGAAGGTGGGGCTGGAGTACGTGTGGATTTTGAATTTGTGCTTGCTCCGGGGATCCTGGGAGGAAAACAAAGGATAAAGATTATAAACTTGCATCCAATATTGGCAAGGCACCCCCGCTCTGCCCACTCCTGTGCCAGCTGGCTCTGGAGGTGCTGCTAATGGACTTCAGTCAACTGCCCCCAACTGGTGGGGACCTTTTCCAGTAATCACCAGGATCTAGCTTTATTCCTCTTTACATATGTTGCCATAACAATGAAAAAGCAATGCATTGGCTTGTCTGGGGATTTATTCTTTTTCAATAACTCGGTCTTAGCTTGGAAAACACCAGGTGAAATTGGTAGGTACGAACCAACAGAAGGGCTGGACACTGCCCAACTTCCATGCAGAGCAGGACAAACCATCCATGATTCCATTTATATTAAGCCTGCCCAGGAAACATCTCTGTGCTCCAGTGCCAGCCCTCCCCAGCATTCAAGCTGGGGATTCAAGCTGCTTGGGGGATACTTTAATATTTTGAGCTTTCTTAAAAGCAAGGGAAGATTTTTCTGCAGCAGAGTGTGCAGACCCAGAAGAGCCCAGTTTATCCCTTTATTCCTTGTGCAGGCATCAGGCAAACAGGGCTGCTGGGGCTCCAGCAAAGGCAGCAGGAGTTAAAGCCAAACGAACTCAAATCATAGAATCCTGGAAGGACATTGAAGATCATCTCATCCCACCCCCTGCCATGGGCAGGGACACCTCCCACTAGCCCAGGTTGCTCCAAGCCCCGTCCAACCTGGCCTTGGACACTTCCAGGGATGGGGCAGCCACAGCTGCTCTGGGTAACCTGTGCCAGTCAAATAACCTCCAGAAGAAACAACTTCTCAGCCAGGAGAGAGGATGAAGCACTGAGGCATAGCAAGGATTTGGTATCTCTTGGTATCTTCCTAGCATGAAAAGACAATTCTGGAAGGCCAGGAGAGCCTGGAGCAGCTGGGCTGTGCAGAGGAGGGCTCTGGGGCTCCACACCTCTGGGAGCAGCACACACAGGCCAGGGGGAAGATTCCAGCATGGAGCAGCTTGATTTCATCTCAGGTTAATTGTTTAAGGGTTAGGGATAAGGCACAGCTCCCGCTCTGTCATTTGAGCTGAGCAGCTTTTTAATGGCCTGGAAAGCTGCCCAGGCATTAGCAAAGACACCTTTTCAGGGCACTGAGAGCAGAGTAAATAAATAAAGAGTGGAATCAGAAGCGAGCTATAACATCACTGCCAATACACTCCTTCCCCCTGAAATTAATTTCCCAGCACTGTTGCATTGAAGCTTCCAGCTGCATTAATCACCAACATCCTGCTTTGTTACTCAGCACCACAGATAACCCCACGACACCACCAGGAGCAAAACTAACGGAGCTTCCTCTAACTCGACCTGTGGAGTGCCAGGAATCAGGTACAGGCTTCAGCAAATTTGCACTGAAACTGGAAATAACTCACCTG